GGGCAAGACACTTCACCTGAACTTGCTCCTGTGGGTATTGTCCACAGTACATGACCATTGCATGTATGATATGTGTAATGTGTATTTGTAAAGCGCTTTGAGCATCTGGAAAAGCGCTATAATAAATGTAAGGAATTATTATTATTATTGAAGTGACTTCAACAGGGTTCATACACTTTTTCACCCCATGATTTTCAATGACTTTTCCATGACTTTTCCATGACCTTTACCTAATTTTCCATGACCAAAAAAATTACTCTTTCTCAGCGGTACCACTGAAAATTGTTTATTTTAACATGGAACAGGAAAATAAGGTCTGAAACATGTTGTGTCTATCTAAAACAAATCTAATAGGCTTTCTAGCTTCTACTAAAATCTCTCACCAGCAAAATACCTCGACAGTTAAATGCCATTTTATGTTTCATTACTATACGATACAGTATTTAATATCATTATAGTATTACTATTTCAGCGATTAGATAAAATATAAATTATATTTGATGCAACTTTAGTTACATTTCCATGACTTTTCCAAAACTTTGGGAAAAATATTGTTTTCCATAACTTTTCCAGGGCCTGGAATTTGCATTTTGAATTTCCATGACTTTTCCAGGTTTTGAATGACCGTAAGAACCCTGCTTCAATGATGGGATGGGGAGTTACCTCCACACTGAGACACGTTCTTGGCCCCGGCGATGCCCTGTCCTTCGATGCCGGGACATGGCTCACAGGATAGCTGACCCAGCGTGTCCTGGTACGTCCCGGGAAGACACTGCACACACTGCTCCTGCTCCCCGCTGTAGAACGTCCCGAGCCCACAGCTCACTGAGGAGGAAGACAGTGGCAAATACTTTGGAAGAATACTTTTGTGGCTTGTTTTGAACTTTGTCCTGTTGTTTTATTTTATCAAACTAATTCAAGTATACACAGTCATTTTGTTCACCTAATTCAAAAAGGTGTTGTAATGCATCAGCATGAACTTTAAAATACACAGTTCTGTATTTTAAATTGTATTGTAACATTGTTATGCTGCTAGTTATCCCCCTTTAAAAGAAATGTACCAGTAAACTGATCCTACCTTCTTTACGTAAATGTAAGAGACTACAGTTACCTTTCTTTTGCATGCTGATAACGTAAACCCGTAACATGTAATCCGTTTCTCCACAAGCCTGCTAGTAGGACCCTGAACTCACCACACTTCCCCTCTCGGAGGACGTGTCCCGTGCTGCAGAGCTCGGCTCCCTCCAGTACCTTGGACGGTTTCTGGGCCACCTCGTACTCCGTCCCAGAGAACTGGATGTAGAACTGCTGTTTGTTGATGGACTTCCTGAGCGTCCGCATGGCGCTCTGCAGCTTCTGCTTCACCCTTTCCCGCACACACTCCACGTTACAAGAGTCTGAGGAAAAAGTGGTTTGGTGGTCAAAAAACGAATTCTAAAGGTTTCTTTGAAAAACACAGCCTGACACTGTCCATATTTTACAAACAATTGTTATTTTTCAAACTGATTTGATATAGACAAATCATGTAAGAAAGAACATACCTGATGCTTCTTCCTCTCTCATCTCCATCTCAAACTCAGCTGTGATATGGGAAACCTCTTTGGAAGGAGATTTGCGTCCTCGTCTGCGCTTCTTAGAAGAGTCGCACTTGAGGTTTACAAATGTTACCTGGCAGTCGTCTGTGCAAGGGAATTGGCCTCCTTCCAGGTCAAAAAGACGAGGAGGAGGAGGAGCAATATGTTTTAATCAACACAAAAATAACTGCAGTTTTTTACAATTTCACTTCAAATAAAAGGGTAGTGTGTAAAATGAAGCTAAACTCAGTACAATGTGTTTACCTTGTAGGTTCTGTCTGGAGGAGTCTCTGTGTTTCTCCTTGTTTCGGGGCCTCAGGTGACATTTGGCGTCTTTGATCTTAAACCTGGCCTTCTGCTTTATGGGTGCGGACAGCGTGTCTTTATTCATAAGCAGAAGAGACACTCAGATTTGCTAATCACCATTTATTATAAAAACAACAGATGTGTAAAGTCTAAAAGTAATATTTTGACTGATAGTAACAGAAAGTCCTACTGTACCGCCACAGGTGGGTAAAGCACTGGTGGTGTTCCTCTTCGGAGGAGCTTTAACAGGCTGGACGGGCACTCCACAGCTCAGTGTGTAGCTGTTCTCTGAGTCTGTTAGAAACACACACACACACACACACACACACACACACACACACACACACACACACACACACACACACACACACACACACACACACACACACACACACACACACACACACACACACACACACACACACACACACACACACACACACACACACACACACAGACAGACAGACAGACAGACAGACACACACACACACACATTAGACTACAGTGAGAAAAGAGGAATCAGATATGATGATGAGAGGTAAGGGAGGCTGAGAGTTTTCATTTCGTCTGATGGACTGCGTGACCGGGTCATCTGCTCCATCAAACATCTGTAAGATATGGAGGCATGTGTGTTTCACTTGGCACGGCGCTGGGCCACTCACAGCTCGGAGGATTAAGAAGAATTGTATAAACGCAGTAGGACCTTACTCTGCTCCTGTATTCAGAAACAACAGCCCAGAGGAAACTTGTTGAACCTCTATTGAGAAATTAAAACCCATGAGATAGATCTACGAACCCTGTTTTTCGATCGTGATGCGCACCAAGAAGCATTTCAAGTGTGAAATGAGGGATGAAGTTTTTGGAGGTCATAAAAGTGAGATGATTAAATAAGAGCCTGGGCTGCATTTAGCCACAGGAATTTACATGGCTCTCTCCCCCCCTGAAATTAAGACTTTGCTCCAGAAAGACAGGAAAACAAATATTTCACTTCATGCCTGAGAGCTCTCCATCAGTCTCACACCACGGCAGCCAAGTTAAACGAAGCAATGGGCTCGCTGTGGAAAAAAAGGCGCGATCAAAGAATGTAATCGATTTACAGATGTGTGTTAAGTACTATTGCAGGAGGAGGAGACGCTGGGCTGCCAGCCAAAGTGCTTGCACATGGAAAAAGAAACACATCAGTCTGAGTGAAGCACCCTGAGGAGTCAACAAGTACAGCAATAAAGGACGTTAGTGCTTTTTTTTAAGCATCAGAGGCACAGACAGGAGAGTAGGTACAAGGAGCTGTGATAGCGAGCTGTTACCACCAGAGGGAAGCAGCGTGTGTAGCATGACAGCTAAAACCATCTGGCTTTTTTTTTTTTACAGGAGTAGAGTAAACTTTTTTATTTAAATGCCATCAAGAAATAGTTTCCCCTTTTTTTCTCCCCATTTTATTTTATCTAAGTGATCTCCCACCCAGACCACTTCCAGATATAACAAAACTGACACAAATTGTAATCATTCTTAAAGTATCCATAGCTTTCTTAGATAATATGATCCTCTTCAATAAAACCTGGTCTCCTCTCCTTCAGTACATTCATTACATCAGCTTGGCCACACTCTCTATACAAAAGAACAATTTCAAGTGATAAAATAGCACAACATAAATTCTTTTGTCCTATTTTCAAAATGGTATATTTTATGTATTTATTAGTTTTGTTGTAAATAATTTTGGTATCCACTGTAAAAAATGAAAATACAAAAATCAAAAAACATATAAAAAAGTATCAACATCCTTAACTTAACAGCAAGGTCCCAATTTAAGAATTTGGTTTAAATTGATACAAATAAAAACAACTGACAAGGACAACCAGAGCAACAGTGTCCCAGTTTTTCAATCCAATAGTCCTTCATTCCAGCCCCTGAAGTGTCAATACATTGTTGTTAGGAAGTGTTGGATAAACCTCATCACTTTAAAACACCAGTGGTAAAAAGATAATTAATTTTTTCGAAAAAGTGTGACTTTAACTAAGTGTTTTTGTGTGTACCTGCGAGGAAGAGGGCGTTGGAGGGGCAGGAGAGTGAGCAGACCTCTGCCCCCCCGCTCTTGGTGCAGGTCAGCTGGGCTCGGGGTACTGGCTTCCCATTGGGCAGACACTTCACCGCCTCTGAGGAACACACAGAGTCAAATCACCATGACAAACACCTGGACACACACACACACACACACACACACACACACACACACACACACACACACACACACCACACACACACACACACACACACACACACACACACACACACACACACACACACACACACACACACACACACACACACACACACACACACACACACACACAGACACACACACACGTACACTGGTGTTCAGGTCTGCTGCGAGGAATCCACCACGCCTCGTGTGGAGAGAAGTGGACACACACACACCACATACACACACACACTTGGTGCTTACCGATACAATCCTTCTTGTTCCAGTGGAGCTTCTGACCGGGTGGACACACACAATCGTAGCCGCCCTGAGTGTTTATGCAGCCGTGCTCACAGCTCCCGTTACTGATGCTGCACTCATCAATGTCTGAGACACAACCACAGAGACCATTAGGGTGTGTGTGAATAACAAGACATTATAAAACAAGATATTAGCAAAGACAAAATATTGGGATTATAAGCACATGTGATTAGAGATATGAAAGACAGTGAAGATGTAACTACACTCTAAAAACGAATTCAGGCGACCTTTCACCTCCACTTAATTAAATGCATGGTTGCAAGATAAAAATGTGAGTTAATTGATTTAGATAAACATTTTAAGTTGCAAACATTAATTTATAAGTTGTGTTGACGTAATAATGTTGGTAATTACATCAACTTAATATTGTGTGTAATTTGAACTCTGATTTCTGCGTTAATTGACTTAAAACTAAATTCAAGTTGTAGTAAGTAATGCAATTGGCTTGATAACTTAATTGTTCTACACCTTGAGTTAAGGATTTCAAGTCCACTCCCACTTAACATGCCGGGACAAGTTCCGACAGTTAAGACAAATAGAAACATACAAAGGACATTTGAAGTTGAGTGTCATCTTTTGTCATTCAAATACAGTAGATAGCCTTGTAGTTGCACTGTATAGGTAAATTGCTGTTTGACCAAAATTAGCAGCCTTTGAACTGTGAATAGTTCTGTGAGAGGATAGAAAGTAGTAGAGGCTACTGTGAGAGTAAAAATACTTTGGTTACTATTGTGATATCGCTTTTTATTCAAAATGAATCTCGCTGAAGCAGATAAAGGACATGCTTCTTGAGGTAGGATCGTTATTTAGAGTTGTCATTGAAATGCAAGTTGTTGGCAGTCCCCCATTCAGAATATATTCATTTAGGTAATTTCTCTTTTTTTCCTTTTTCAAAAATAACACAATACAATTGAAGTACGCAGAGAACTATAGCCATCCGCTGCCTTGTCGTGTACCTTGGAGAAAAGGAAGAGGACCTTTTCAAGGAGTTTAGCCACGTAATTAAAAATCTTGAAATAAAATAAAATCCATGGGCACAGTGTAAAAACACAGGACAAAAGCACTGCTCTCTATCAGTTACATTTTGAAGCATATTGCACTTTTGGCCACACCCCAATCCATAATATTTTAGCAACGTTCAGCATGGATAGGTGTTGACAGCAATGGCATGGGAAAAGGATAGTGTAACATTTGAAAAGTGGCTTCCGCTCTTCACTTAACCAGTTCAAATATTGTATGGAAGCAGCAAAAAAGAATACACTAAAACTTGATACACTAGATACACTAAAACTTGCACGGTTGTGATTGACAAAATCTGTCCACATGCATTTAAACACTAGGCAAAGTACTCAAAAGCACCTCTGTGTGTCTTCAGGACCACATTGCCATGATGACACACACATGCAGACTCAATAGGTGAAAACAATACCAGTGTTGCTTTAGCAGCTGGTAATAATGGCTCTGAATTCGCTAAGAGTGACAGTTTAAAAAGTATGCAATTACCTAATTCATTATCTCCTATGCGCTAACCTATTATTGAATGTGCTTCAAAAGGACATGAATATCGCCTTCATCAGTGACCGGTCCACCCCAGGATCTGACCATACGATGGCAACCATCGTGTTCGAGGGAAACAAATGAGCAAGCATTCTGCGTTAAATGTGTTCATACTGTTTGAAATAATGACTGTCGGCAGTGTAAACATCTTTGTTACATCTTGTGTAAAATGGATGTGTGTGATCTGCAGATTGGTGGCCATTGAGAGTTTGTTTCTGTAGTTTTACAAAAACGTTACAGATTTGACATATTTGGCACTGCATGGTTTTAATATGCAAAGGCCTCTAACTTCGTTGTGATGGCAGCATTTATTTGCTGTGTCCCCATTTCTATGGTAATATGGTTAATGTGTTTATTTATTATTTGTGGGGCAATTTAAATTTGTGTTATTTATCTTTTTTTTCAAGATTTAAATGAAGCTCAGCGCAAGTTCTATTTCATCCTTACTGACCGTCAGAGGCGGTGCTTTAGCACTGGATATCTTCCATCTCGCGCATGCGTAGGTCGAATATTTATATCAACAAAGTCACGTGTGACCTCGTATGACCCCGGAAGGCATAAGTTCCGCTGTTGTCAACGAGTTCAGTCCTTTTTCATCTTCTCGCTGCGCAGGTAAATACTTTTTGAGTAGAAGCCAAGCTAGCTTATTGAAAATTAAGATCCTAGCTTATCGCTACCTGTAGCCTTGTGATCGTCTCGATCGGAGCTGCGGGCTAGGAAAACGCTCGCCCTCCAAAGGCTGCGACGAGCTAGCTGTCCGCCCTCCCAAGGGAGGGGACTGCGGTGTTCACCGCTCGGACCCTAGGAGCTCCGGACCGGTAAAGAGCGGACGCTCCTGCACGTCAGCCGGTGAGATTGCGACCATTTATCGCTGATTGTGCTATCTATTCTCAAGCTAATGAGATAACTGTGTACAAGTTAGCCGGGGGCTCTCGCTAATTTGTTACTGCGCTATTGAAGGGAGCGTCTCCGCCCCCCTCTCACTACATACATTTGGTTCTTTGCCTGTTTTATCGTCCAGTTAGCTGAGTGTTTTCGTTCAAGCTAACCGTTACGGCTCTAGTGAAGGGAGCGTCTCCGCCCCCCTCTCACCGCATACATTTGTTTCCTTACCTGTTCTATCGTCCAGTTAGCTGATAGTTTTCGCTCAAGCTAACCGTTACGGCGCTAGTGAGGAGAGTGTCTTCGCTCCCCTCTCACAGCTCACAATTAGTTCCTGTTCTATCCCCAGTTAGCAGAGTGCTCTCGCTCAAAGCTAACTTGCTACAGCGCTAGTCAGTAGTGTAGTGGGCGTCCCCCGCACCCCCACTTATTTGGAGCATGATCTTTTTTTTAAGTCTAATAAATATAAAATCGTTGCAAGTGTATTTGTTGTAATAATGACGAAAACATAATACATTTCACAGTAATTAAAATAAAAACGATTTCCTTAAAAAAGTATGATTCATACTGACCCCGCGGTCACTGACCATAGTCACTGACACACCCACGGTGAGCCAGCTCGCCGCGCCCGCCGATTTTGCGGCAGCTCTTTCCCTCAAGAACACTAACGAAAAAGCTCTATAATGGCAGGCTAACATGTTTTACTTGACTTATTTTCTAAAAAGAATATAATTCACAAGAAGAAAGAGGCTAGCAGCATCGAAGCTACAAGTGAAGCTGCTAGTAATACATCAGAAGAGCCGCCTAAAGACGTGGATAATGCTAGCTAACGTGCACGTTAGCTGCGCTAGCAACGTTCCCCTGGCTAGCTCAAGCTCACCTTTCCCAGAGGTATGGACGGAGGAGATGTGGCGGAGGAAACAAGAGGCATACCCGTGGATAGACTGCAAAGCTGGGAAACTGGGCTGCAAAGTTTGTTCATCCATTTCGGATTTATCAGTCTTCAAAACCCAAGGTGTGTGTGTGTGTGTGTGTGAAAAGCAGCGCTGTCTGCTTATTTGCAATGTAGGCTAGGCCTAATCAGAATAATGTCAAGTCCAGATTCAATGTTGTTTGCATAAGTATGGCTATATTTTTCGTTTTGTTTATTTAATAAGTTCATTGAGCGCAGCGCCGTCTGCTTTTTGCAGTACAGTAACTAAAGTAGGACTAAGCATACCGGTAGTTTCTGTGGACCTGTCTGCCTGTTTTATGAGTGCACTGCGCGCATGCGCACTTGTGTGGCATTGTTCTATCTATCCCCAGTTAGCTGAGTGCTCTCGCTCAAAGCTAACTTGCTACAGCGCTAGTGAGGAGTGTCTTCGCTCCCCTCTCACAGCTCACAATTGGTTATTTTATTTAATCGTTTATTTGACAGGGACATGCACTGTAATGAACACTTAAGACATTTAAATATGTCAAGCGTAACAGTGCCAGATTTAGCTTTGAGCTACTTTCCATTCCCTCACATAAAACATTGAAGGAAATTACATTTTACAAACATGGTAAAAAACAAAATACATGATATGCAAGGAGTGGCAACGACATATAAAGTGCATCCATCCTCCAGTTAACTGAGTGCTCTCGCTCAAAGATAACTTGCTACAGCGCTAGTGAAGAGTGTTTCCGCTCTCCTCTCCCTGCACACAGTTGGTTCCTGTTCCACCCTCCAGTTAACTGAGTGCTCTCGCTCAAAGTTAACTTGCTACAGCGCTAGTGAAGAGTGTTTCCGCTCTCCTCTCCCTGCACACAGTTGGTTCCTGTTCCACCCTCCAGTTAACTGAGTGCTCTCGCTCAAAGTTAACTTGCTACAGCGCTAGTGAAGAGTGTTTCCGCTCCCCTCTCCCTGCACACAGTTGGTTCCTGTTCCATCCTCCAGTTAACTGAGTGCTCTCGCTCAAAGTTAAAGGTGACCTATCATGCAAAATGCACTTTTGTACGTCTTTTATACATGAATATGTGTCCCCGGTGTTCCAGGGAACTCACCAAGTGTCAGAAAACACAACCCTCTCTATTTTTCCTCTATACCCAAATCTCTTCAAAAGGGGCTGCAACGGATCTGATACAGACTGATCCAGATTTGAACACTTCTATGACGTCACAGAAGTGGTGCTACGGCTATTGGGCCAACTCCACCAATCAGGAGGAGACAGCCACGGACATTGCCGTTCGAAAGTGCTGGAGACGCTGTAGTACATATGCCAGGCCTGTAGATGGTGCTGTTCTCACAGAATCAGCCCATCAGCATGATCTGTTTGGTATTTTGAAAAATAAAGAGTATAAATATGCCTTATATAGGTATGGTCCTACACTATATTATTCAAATATAGCATGACAGGTCCACTTTAACTTGCTACAGCGCTAGTGAAGAGTGTTTCCGCTCCCCTCTCCCTGCTCACAGTTGGTTCCTGTTCCATCCTCCAGTTAACTGAGTGCTGTCGCTCAAAGTTAACTTGCTACAGCGCTAGTGAAGAGTGTTTCCGCTCCCCTCTCACTGCACACAGTTGGTTTAATACCCGTTCCATCCTTCAGTTAGCAGAGTGCTCTCGCTTAGGCTAACTTGCTACGGCGCTAGTGGAGAGAGTATTCTCGCTCTCCTCTCACGGCATAAAACCATTAACTGACTTCATTGTTCTCACCCCAGTTAGCAGAGTGCTCACGCTCAAGCTAACTACTATTGTGCTCACTCCCCTCCACTGCATATTTGTTTCCTGGCCCAGTTATTTACAGTCAGCTGAGTGCTCTAGCAATCGCTAGGTCTAACGGCTCTAACACTTGTATGGCTCCTCTTTAACCAGAGGATGGCCATGACCTTTGCCCCTCTTGTCTTGGCCTCGAGCATCTGAGGGAGGGCCTTTCGGAGGACCCGTGCATGAATTGCACCATCATGCCTCGTGCGGTAGGAGCTGCTAGACTAGCCGAGGTTGAACTACTAACTGAGGGTGGCCTTCCCCCTGCACAGTCGACTCTGCACAGCCCAACCTACCCATCTTAGGCGTTGGGCCGCAGAGGCTGCGGGTGCACCGCCCAAGAAGAGGACTAAGCCTGATAGGCTGTCCTCCAGGGTGGACCTACTCACTACTGAGCTAGCCCAGATGAAGTCACTCCTCTTGGCTCTCCATTCTGGTGCCCGTGCAGAGCACGCCGCTGCCCACCCGTGGCTGAGCTGGTTCTAGATGTGTTCTCGATGGCAGCTTCAGCCACTCAATTTGATGAGTAGGATGGGGAGAGCCCATCCCATGCTTCTGGGCCTGGCTCCTGTACCTCAGCTCATGGTCCCTCGGAGGAGGCAGATGACGGCTCCATGGGTACCGTCATTCGCATGGCACTGGCTCACCAGCAGCTGGATGCGCAGCAGCCCGAAACAGCGCCTGCCAGTGTGTTCTTTAGGCGCACTCTTCACAACCTTTACTCCCTCTTGTGAGTATCTGAGGGAGTTACATGCATGCTGGAGGACACTAAGGCTCTTTACAGTCTTACGTCCGATGGCCGAGCCCTGGCAGCCATGCAGGATGCGGCAAGAGTTGGCCTTGACCACACGCCAGCTGTTGAGCCTACCATTGCTTCCCTCATAGTTTCCCCTGACGAAGCTCTGAGGTCGGAGGCCAGGTGCCCTCGACTCCAATGTCAGGTCACTGATGACCTGCTCACTAAGGCTTACGATGCAGCGGCGCGCATGGGCCGTATAGGCAATTCCCTCTCTCACCTCATGCTCGCCCTCTCAGCTTCCCCGCAGCAGGATGCTCTTAGCGCTTCCTCTACCAGCCTCAGTGACGCCTCATTACAGGCGTTCGCTCTGATGTCTAGAGAGCTTGGGCGCCTGATGTCCACTCTCGTCCAGACTCGTCGCCAGGTTTGGCTGACACAGTCACCCTTATCAGAGACATGTAGGACTCTCCGTCCACCGGCTCACCCCGGTGCCCGCCATGGGCCTCAGCGCTCCACGAGGGGGCTGGCCCGCTACGGTCCTGTTAACTCGCCCCCAAGGCAGCCTCGGTATCCGGTGCCTAACCGTCGCCCCCCCAGAGCCAGGGGGCAGGGTACTGAGGGTCTGGGGCCGGCTGTTGGTTATCTCTCCCAGCAGCAGCAGTTCAACTATCGGGTAGCTCAAGCTTCAGACCCCTGGGTGGTTTCCACCTAACCCAAGGGTACAAGCTTCAGTTCCGACACTGGCCTCCAGTCTTCAGCCGGGTCAAGATGACCACCATAAGCGACCTGGCAAAATAAATCGCCCTAAACCAGGAGCTGTCAGTCCTCCTTGCCAAGGGTGCAATCGAGCCTGTGGACCCCATCTCACAGCAGGAGCCGCCTGGCTAGGCTTCTACTCGACCTACTTCCTGGTAAGGAAGAAAGGCGGTGGACTTCGCCCAATCCTCGATCTGAGGGGACTCAACAAGTTCCTAAAGATTTTACCTTTCCATATGCTGAGCACAGCGGACGTTCTTCGTACCGTGGCCAGGGGGGAATGGTTCACGTCCGTCGACTTGAAGGACGCTTATTTTCATGTGCCTATTGTGCCTCATCACAGGCAGTTTCTTCGCTTTGCCTTCAGAGGCCGTTATTTCCAGTTCAGGGTGTTCCATTCGGACTCTCCCTCTCCTTAGACGACTGGTAAATCTGTGCACCATCCCGGTTACAGACGATCCAGGACACGGCTCTCCTCTCTCATGCCGCCCGGCTAGGCCTCATGGTGAACATGGAGAAGAGTTGTCTGAACCCCTCTCAGAGCCTAACCTTCATGGGGGTGGCTCTGGACACAGTCACTCAACCAGCGAAAGCAGTGTTCTCGCCCCCACTCCTGGTAGACGTGATGCTTTATTCTAGCAGCAGCCGACTGGATAGGCTGTCCTGCTGAAACTTCTTTTTTTTCCCAGCTAGGTGAAGGCAGTGCTCTCGCTCCCGCTCCCTCTGCTGGTAACATGGGTTTAGTTACATCCCTTTTGGGTTCGGCGAGTAGGAGCGTTGCTCTACTCTTTCCGTTCAGCAGGTAGCTGGTGAAGGCTGTGTTCTCGCACCCCGCTCCCGCCTACGCTGCATCTGGCATTCGTTATTAACTCAACCAGTGAGCGCGGTGTTCTCGCCCCTGCTCCTGGTAGACGCGCTGCTTCATTCTAGCAGCAGCTGCCTGGCTAAACTGCCCTGTTAAATGTCCTTATCTAATCCACCTAGGTGAATGCAGTGCTCGCTCCCGCTCTCTCTGCTGGTAACGTGGTGTAGGACATTTACATCCCTCTCTGTGTTCGGCGTGTAGGAGCATTGCTCTACTCTTTACGTTCAGCAGGTAGCTAGTGGAGGCTGTGTTCTTGCACCCGCTCCCGGTTACGCTGCATCTGGAATTCGTTATCAACTCAACCAGTGAAGGCAGTGTTCTCGCCCCTGCTCCTGGTAGGCTTGTTGCTTGATTCTAGCAGGAGCCGCCTGGCTAGGCTGTCCTGTTAAACTTCCTTGTTTAACCCAGCTAGGTGCGGGCCTGTCCATCTGCTGCACAGACTCTGCTGTGGGACGCCTTGACGTCTCCCCAACAGGAAGGACCTCTTGTCTTAGTTGGAGAGTCGGATGTGGCACGCCGACCCCTGCCGCCTCCAGCTGTGGGTCTGGCCACTGGAGGGCCCGACCCACTGCTGAGCGACTGCATAGAGTATGTCAGGAAGACTATTCTCCAATGCCAGGGCACCATCTACTCGTAGGCAGTACGAAAACAGGTGGAAACTGTTTTTTTTTTTTTTACTGGTGTCAAGGGCGAAATGAGGACCCAGTATATTGCTCGGTGCCTACGACCCTTGAGTTCCTGCAGTCCCTCCTGGACGACGGCCGGTGTCCCGCTACCGTCAGGGTGTATGTGGCTGCTATATCAGCTCAACACACAAGGGCTGACAACAGCTCAGTGGGAGCCATAGGTTGGTATCCCTCTTTTTAAGGGGGAGCTCTGAGGCTTCGCCCCCCCGAATATCCCAAGGGCCCCTACATGGGACCTGCCCTTGATGCTGGATGCCCTATGCTCGCCTCCTGTTGAACCTTTGTTTCAGGCAGAACTGGAGTGGCTCTCAGCTAAGACTGCTCTCCTTCTTGCCATCACCTCAGCAAAGCGTGTAAGCGAGCTTCAGGCCTTGTCCATGAACAGCTTGTGTCTGAGGTGGAACTCAGATGGCTCAGGTGTCACCTTATGGCCTAACACAGCGTTCCTCCCTAAGGTGCAAAGACATATGTGCTGCGGCCACATGGGCATCCCAGAGCACATTCGCCAGATACTACACGGTGAATGTTGCCGCCCCTCACCCGCTGGGTGTGGTCCTCCTGCAGAGTCAGCCTAGGCCATCCTTATAGCAGGGGGAGTATTCAGACTTCCTCGTGACTCTGTTGGTATAGGTCATCCAGTGCTAAAGTACCGCCTCTGGTGGTCAGTAAGGATGAAATAGAACGATAGTTATGTATGTAACTACGGTTCTATGAATACTGGATGACCGCCAGAGTTTCTTGGTCACTCGGAATCTCGTGTTTCCGCGAGAAGATTCCATAGGACTGAACTCGTTGACAACACCGGAACTTATGCGGTCACGCGTGACTTTGTTGATATAAATATTCGACCTACGCATGCGCGAGACGGAAGATATCCAGTGCTAAAGCACCGCCTCTGGCGGTCATCCAGTATTCATAGAACCGTAGTTACATACGTAACTATCGTTCTTTCAGGAAGACTGGGTGTATATACATTCACTCCGCAGCTGCATATAATCAGCTCATCACAGGCGTTCTCTTTAACCTATTACATTTCACCTCATTCTCCAGCAGCCAATCAACGTGCTGCAGCCAAACTATAAAATGGTTCTCCTCTCTCCTGCAGTCAGCTGTGATTTCAGGTGTTCATGCACCTTATCATATGGCATGTGTCAATAAATGTTCAAACTAAATGAATTCTCTCCAGATTGAAACATCATGTGTTGAAATAAACAACTGCAGTTCAAAATAAAAAGTGAATTGCCTAATATTTTTGTTGTGGAATCAATTAATTTCTTTCTTTAAAGGCAAAAACATGAAAAAGCTAAGAAAAAAAACTATTGAATACAATATATTTGGAGCAACTTAATTTATAAATGGTTGTCAACTTAAAAACGTTTGTTCACAATGATGGTAATGAAGTACATACAACTTAAAATTCCTTTTAAATCATGTGGTATTACAAGTTGGAACAACTTAATTTTTGGAGTAATCAACTTCAAAACTTGTATCCCGAATGAGGGTAATTAAGTACATGCAACTTAAAATTCCTTTTAAATCATGCGGTAAAACTAGTCGGAACAACTTCATCTTTTGAGTAATCAACTTCAAAACTTGTGTTTATAATACCAATTATTAAGTAAGTGGTAATTAAAAACACCTGATTGTAGAGGAAAAGCCTTCTCCCCAAACTCAAATAACTTTGTTGCTTTAAGACAATTTCATTAGACGTTGTCTTAACTCAATAAACATTGATGCAAACTGTTGCGTTGATTTTCTTTGTTGAGCCAAGGCATTTGTTTTTAAGAGTGTATGACAGACAAACATGAGTGCTCCATATATGTTCTCTACATACCTCATCATTGCTACATTACCCTGTGTACGCTCCCCTTTACACTCTAAAATGTATTTCCCTTATTAGACGCATACACACAAAAACACACACTTTTCTACTCTACTGGTACTTCCAGGCCTGTTTGCTGTTTGATGTGAATCTCCTGTGCTGAGGGAAGTGGGATTCTCACCTCCGCAGTGTGTGAGGCCGTACAGGATGTGTCCCTTTTTGCAGACGCACTCATAGCTGCCAGGGTAGTTGATGCAGGTGTGGTCACAGGTCCTCTCAAAGGAGCATTCGTCAATATCTGAGCGAGACAAGAGACATCATAATTGAATAATCAAAATGTCACATAAATGTTTACCCATCATGGATAGTAACACTCATCCTCAAAATAATGTGGCTGACATGATCCTGCAAATGTATAACAGAAAGCCTGTGTTACTAACTGGAGACATATAGGAGCCTAAAATAGATCTTATTGGAGTCCCTATAACCAGAAGTCAGGATATCTCAATGTCTGTTGCTTCAATTTTAACTAATTCTTTTTTTCTTTTGACATGTTTTGCATATATATATATATATATATATATATATATATATATATATATATAAAAAAGTAAGGTTTGTTGCATCAGTTCAGAAATTCTTGACTATTTTAGGCTCACAGGTCTCATAAAAACATGCTATTTTCCCAAGAAGGTGTACCATACAAATGAAAGGAAATATGACTTAATCGTGGCTTGAATCAGTTTAATAAGAGGTTTTGTCCCGCTTCCTCTGTGGAAGCAGGAGTCAGCGGGATGAGTGGTTTACAGATATTGTAATCCTAATGACTCATTTATGGAGAAATACAGGCTGCTCACCACGGACTTAAGAGGTCGTCCCATTAATCACGGTGGACAGTATAGTAAACAAATACATGAGTTCAGCACTAAACTAGGACACAAGCTCATTCTAATAAACCAATCTGGAAAAAGTACTGAGCTGGAGGCAGCCCACATTCAGTGTTACGGCAATGTCTGTGTGTGAGTGTGCACGCCTGCCCGCATGTATACCAAATATTATTAACCTATCAGGAATGGAGGCCAGCGTTTGAAGCTCACCTGGTTTATTTCAGGCTGTTCCGCGGAGCTTTACAGGGGCTAAAAATACGCCATGTTATAATGGAGTTTGTCATGTGGAGGAAGTTGTTGAGGCCTGGATGTTGGCTCGGGTAAATATTCCAGGCAACTGTTCAAGTGAGGACTTAGAAATAGCTTTCCTGTTTCGAGCTAGCTCACAAGCGGAGTTTATACAAGCTGATCTGGGCACACTGGAATTGGCAACAGCTGTTGAATGTTAAAGGACATTTATAAAATCATTTCTGGTTTGTTTGAAGTGTTTTTCCTTGAGATATGCCCTCGTCATGATGACTTGTTTTGACAGTGATTATTGGAGTTCATCTTCTTCTGACAAAATGATTTCCTAAAAGGGCCCTATTGTGTCATTTGGGGGTTTTCACTTCCTGTAATGTGTTGTATAGGTTTTATTGCATGTAAATGGTCTGCAAAGGCTAAAATTCCAAAGTTCCCTCCAGAGGCAGTTCAGTAACATATGTAGGGAACACTTGTGCTTCTATTAGCTAGCGCTCCAACACATTGTACGTGATAGGCTAAGGGGTGGGACATCTCTCAGCAGTTGACCAATCACAACAGATCTTGCCAGCTAACCAATCAGAGCAGACTGGGCTCTGGTTTCAGACAGAGGGTGAAAAGGCGCGATCAAAATAAAGATCTTTTTGAACATTAAAGCATGAAAACATATGTCCTCTTAAACTTTTACAAAATAAACAATAAGGTGGAAAATTCGTATGCAACGATGGCAAATGATTGATCTCTGTGCTTAGGATTTCTTAGCCAGGACTGGAAAATCCTCTAGCACTGGCATGTCGTGTATCACCAGAAGCTATTTTCCCTGGAGAAGCTCATCAGCACTAAGAAAGGCTGGAAAATTAAAAGTTACATTTCCTTTTAAGGTCATGTTGAAGCTAAACAGTGCATCTGTCAATGAGTGAAACCTGGCAGCTACAGCAGTCAGTGGCAAAGGTGTGTCAGAAATAGACACTGACTCTTTTATGTCTTTCAACACTCAACACCACATTATTAAAGACTTTAAACGTAGCGACAAAGATGCACAGTTATTACAACACACGCTTAGGGATAAAAGCACCTCAGGGTTTTGTTGTTAATAAAAATCCGTTTGTATTTGTCTGCCTCACTTGTTGCAACTTGAAACCAAGATTCTGCCTTCGGTCTTACAAACACAACACAATAGCTCCTCCGTGTACGCAACACACTCACTGAGGAAGCTAGCTAAAATGCTATGACTCTGCACGACATTACATTAATGGGTTTACACGCATCCAAATCTTCACACTAGAGCAATGGATATTTAAAAAAACACTTAGACATTTATTGAAATATACTTAGTTATTATTGACTTTCTGTTAGCGTTAGACCAACAGGTCCACTGAGATGTTACTGTAGCCTCGCTTACACAAGGACTGCAGATGTGTGTATATTTCCGCTAGGCTAATGTCCTACAGGAACTAAAGTATCCCTGGACTCTCGGAGAGATCTAATTGATAATTATTTTCTCATCTTACTCCAGCACAGACGCACACTTGCTCTAAGGCTCCAGTTTCTTATTTACACATTTATTTCGCTGCACTGATCCATTGAGTTTGTACGGCACCGTTATGTGAACAATCAACCACGCGAGAGTCAGGGTTGGCAAAACGTAATGAATTATTTGAAAACACTTGCAATGTTTCGGCAAAGGAAGTTATAATAAATTAAAAAAAAAGATTAATAAATGTTTAGATTAATTTGTTTATGTTTTGAAATGGGTGGGATCAATCGGGATCAGCTAAGTTGTCAATCGAAAGGTTTATATTAAGCACTGACATTTGTTGTTAGCCTTTAAGCCTCAGTTCCACATTTTTCAAAGGAATTAAGTGTTCAATTATATGTATTACTTATGTTATCAATAAAGGGAGGGGTTACTTTTTTTCAATAACTACTTCCTGTTTACATTGCGCCATACAATTACTTGACGACGTTGCCATTAGCCATCGCTAGCTCCAGTAGTCCAGTCCAGCAGATGGCAGCAAAATAAGTTAACGTTTGATTCAAGATGGCGTGGTTCCTGCAATGCTTTATATATTATGTTATTATGTAATAATTGCATTGCTGTGAGCATCACACAAGCAGTAGGCCTTTAAGCTTTAGGTGAAACATGACAAGCAAGTCAAGAAAATATTTTATATGTTGATGAAACCAGTGCCTGATTGATGACAGGGATAATCTGTGTGATTGACAGCTGTCAGTTACTGACCTTGGCATGAGCGTTCGTCAGTGAGCAGTTTGTGTCCTTTCTGGCAGCTGCATTCGAAGGAGCCCACTGTGTTCTTGCAGAAGTGATCGCAGCCTCCGTTGTTCTCCAGGCATTCGTCGATGTCTGGGTGGAGACGATAACACATTTCAACAATCCATGTTTGTATATCACAGATTAGTTTGACATATAATATTTCTGTACATTTGATGCTATATGACAGAGAAATACTCAGACATACTGTATATACATCTGCTGTCATGTCATTTAACAAACACACTTGGCGGACTCCTTTTGTTTTGTTCCCTGTGATGTTCATCTTCATATTGCCTTTTAAAACTGGTTGCGAGCTTGTTTAACAGATCGGCAGCAGGCAGCGTGGAATCAGTGATTGGAGGTTGGCTCAGGGCTTGTTCATAGCGATCCCACTGTCTAATCCTATGATACGGTAGTTATCTGGAACTAATGGAGTCTAACTTCTGTCAGAGAGAAAGAGACTATCATTGAGTAATCTATAAAAGCTTCTTTTTTTTTTTTTTACTGTGGGTGACGACCAATGAAAGGGTTTATTGTCACCTTTTTATATCTGTCATCAACCATCATTATCCAGAACGAAACTGGAAAAAAATGTTGACAATGTTTTTATTTATTTTTTATTTTGTACGCTCATATTAAGGTAAGGGATAAGAAGCAAAGGTTCATGAATTTGGGACTTGTACCAAGTTTTGATCATGTCAGAGAGAGCTGATAACAGCCTCCTTTCAGCCTGATATATAACTATTTTTCAGTTAATTACAACGTGTAATAAATCATAAATCAGCAAGCGGATTTACAAACAACTCTAATACTGGCAGCACTTTGAGAGTAAAACATTGATTTCAACTACTTTCAAAAGCAGTATGAGAAGCTGTTAATATGCTGACAACAATTTACATATCTAACAAACATATAGACAGCTCTGATCACGGGAGCGAGTGTCTGTTGAATCCCTGTGGAATGAACCCTGTATACCTGAGCTCCAGCCCAGGTGTGATACAGACTTCCAGAGGAGCAGATTCTAAAATAATAATGAGGCTATAGCCCGAGGCAGCATGTTCAGCGCCAACTGCAAATCTGCAGGCTCCACTAATCCCAACCATCCAAACCTCACTCCCCTGCACATCCGGTCCTCAGTGCCCTCGCATGAACCCAAACTGCATATCATCACTTCTTATGAATACATTTAGCTTCTCCTCATCTCTCAATTAAAGTGATGATCAGATCATTCCATTTGCTGCTGGAGAAGAAGGTGAGATCAGGCTGTGGAGGTGGAGAGGAGCAGGAGGAAAGGAGGTGTGAGAAGGGACAATAGTCTGGCAGATTACACAGGCTAAGCCTTTTTTGATTGGTGCTCTAAGTGATGAATATTGTGAGGAGTTAACACCTAAATCCTTGAGCTGGGGAGTAACTCAGGCAAGACACCACGGAGAGAGAAGTAGAGTAGGGGGGGGAGAGGAAGAAGGAAGGAGGTGGGATACAATCAGTGCTGTGTAAATTGTGGCTTCCGACGCTATATGTACACTGCATTTATTTAGTCTTAATTTGCGTGTAACTCAATCAATTCAGCTATTAACGGGGTCAGGAGAAGGTGGCAGGAGCACATAGAGGTCCAGTCAACACGCACACACAAATGGCCCTCAGTGTAGCGTGATATGAGCCCTTATAAAACATCCAGTAACTAAGCCACTGTGTTTTTCCATCGGGTAGATTCTGGCCTCTCTGGCCTGATCCTCTCGCTCTGTATCCTCAGGGAGCTTCTGCTGAATGAACTCTTCATCTAAATATGGAGCCGAGACAGGAATCCACAAGGAGCAGGCCTCAGTAAAAATGTAGTAAACTGTATGTCCCGCTGTGCCCTGTCCGCGCACTTTTAAAGGGATTGTCCCTCCATCTGGCTCGGCTAAAACGGATTTCCCCGTTGGCTGGCGGGATGAAAGTGATGGAGTTTTAGAGCGGGACAGGTAAGTTAATGGCATTAGAAGTATTTAGATTGGTTAGCTCCTACAAATATATCTCTTAGTTTATTACTAAATCGCCTCTTGACTTTTGCCATTTTGCTGTAATTTTTATTTGCAGTAGATTACAGCTTATTTTGGCAATTGTTTGAAATTCAGCAACTTTATGTCTCAATAACAAAAGTCAAGTAAGTTAAAGGTAGAAAGTAAATGGGGGGGGGGGGGGGGGGGAAAGTAAAGGTTTAGGGAGGCGTCATTAAAACCTACTTTTGGGCCTTGTAATACAAAAACAGTTCTTGATCCCACCAAGAATAGGGAGCTAAAATACAGTTTAGCCTGATACCTACTTTGAGATGTATTACAACATGTTGTGAAACTTTAATATGCAAGTGGAAAGCCACTCTCGCAGCACTTTGATAGCAAAAATGTAATGATGGCTGTATTAATTTTTCTTTGTCTTTTTCCTATTTGACCCTCTTTTGTTATTCATGTCTAACCTGCAGCATCGTCTGCCAAAGGATTGAAATCAATAATATCCATATTTCTGTTATTTTCCTCAACAGTAGCTTGTCAGGCCATGCTGATCTCTATCTGTGAGACAGCAGGAGGGATGGCTAGCTGTGGGTTACAAACATACGCAGTCTTTCAAATCCTGAGACTACATGATTTTTTTATCAAGACTAGGCATTTTGAAGTTTTTCTGCTCCTGCATCTTGTGGATTGAAATGAATCAGATCACAAACATGGCCCAGAGACCACAGAAAGAAAAGCTTCAGGAGTGAGGAAATGTGGATTCTCCAACCAGGCATGTTGTTAAGAAAGACATATGCACAAACAAACAAACGCCATCCTACAACATTCCCCCTCTGCCCACATCGTCTCCGCTCTAATGCCTATGTAAAAACAGTGGATACCACCCCTGGTCTAACCCAACACAGACAGACACAGCTTCGTAATTATTCTGGCAGCCACAAACACTGGCAGAACCAGCGCTTTCTACCCACACTTAATGGCCACTCTGGGGATGACTGAGCCTTATAACGGGGTATATAATTACCTTTAATGGAGCTTAAATAAGCTTTGAGTTTAAATAAATACATTAAGCCTCCGCACATCTTGAAATGATAAAGTTTGGAGAAGAGGGAGAAGACAGATAAAAGCCAGTAAGGAGAGTGGGTGAAGGGGGAATGGAGGGTGGCCTGCCATGGGTGGCAGTTCTCAGTATTTCAGGGCTTGTTTTTACAAATGTTAAGCACTATTTTGATCTTATGTCATTGTGTTTACATGCACATCTTTGTTTTAAAGCACAAAGGCCATTTGACATGTGCTTATCCATCACTTAGTGTTGTCCATAGCCATGTATACTTGAGGTCAAATCCAAGTACAGCAGATCATAAAAAAGTATTTCAGAGAAATGCATCAACTTCCCTTTAAGTGTTACACCTGACAAGGTCACAGGAGCAACTGAGGCTGATGGGGATGTCATCTTTATATTTTTAAGGCCCATGATTGTGAAACACCCTCCCAGAAACGGATCTCAGAGATCGTTCATACTTCTGAGAGCCAACTCAAGACAGACCTTCTTAACTTGTCTTTTAATTTAAATGTATTCATTTTTATGATGATTTTTGTGTGTATTATTAATTAATTTGTTTTTATTTAGTCCTGTGTTTATTGTCTTCTGTTGATTTTAAGTGTGTTTACTGGTATTTAATTACCTTGGAAGGGGGGTTTGAGAAGCACTTTGTGACTTTTGTCTAGGAAAAATGCTAAATAAATAAAGTTTGAATTGATTTGATTTAAACAAAATTATTGAATAAATGTGGTGATTTTTTATGGCAGATGAAAATGCAGAGAATCACAATCAAAATGTTAACGCAATCCATCTAGTAACTGTTAAGATTTCCCTTAATCAGTTTAAACCTGGACGTGTTTATAATAACACAACATTATTTTCCAAAGAGCCACGTCGCTAGCATGGCTCGAGATGTGTTTTTGTTTGTTTAAACACAGTACAACTATGTAATTGTGAGAGAATCGGTGTGTTCATGAATGGGCAACTAGATGTCATCTTGCACCAACATCTGGAGAGCCAGAAGCCATCTTGCCTCAGGCGTTTGATAATGAGGACGCTCCTAATTAACTAATTAGCTCTTTGAACCAAGCAAAACAATTGTCTCTGCTTATTTCCAACAATCAAACAAATGTAAAAATCACACACATAGTCTTTCACACCAATGATTCCAACTCTAGTGAGTCATTTGTCATTTTCACTTTACAAAGATTGACAATCTGCCATGCGTTTCTGCACACAGACACACACACACACACACACACACACACACACACACACACACACACACACACACACACACACAGCTGTCTCCTGGGATCCATCTCTGACATTTAGTCTAGACGATCAATATCTTGCTCCAGCCTTCAATCAATAGTTTCCTCCTTTGCCAAGAGCAGTTTGTATCTCAAAATCTCACACAGCTTAAATCTTTTGCTGACAGATATGAAGCTGCATGCGTGACAGGGAATTTTCCCTGTTTCACACATCCAAATGAAGTACTTTTAGGGGCCTTTGAAAGCTACCCAGAATTACATTTAAGAGCAATTTAACGAGCAAAATGAAGAAAAAAAACCTGGCAAAAGCAGTCTATTCCCAATTGAACATAGCAAAAGAAAGTTGTGAGACTAAAAATGAAAAAAAAACATTGTTGACAGGAAATCATTTAAGAACAAGTTGTGAAACATGTTAATGGTCATTCAATAAAAACATGACATTGTATTAAACTTGTTTGTTTCCCAAGGAAATCGAGAATTCAATTGGTGTCGGTAATATCCAAGTAGGGTGCCATTAAAGCAAGAGTACAGCAACTAAAAGAGATCCAGTCAACAAACAAAAAACACATGATGAACTTCAGTGCACTTTCGCATTTCTTTCAAACATTACATTTTTCCAAACATAAAAAAGTTTTCTCCAATATATGTTTCAATTATTAACTCTTAGATGAGCATATTGAACTGCACGGCAACATATCGATGGACACGATTAATTCATGTGACAATAAAGGGCTAGTTAGTAGTATTAAGAGACACTAATTAGCAGAAATGGAAAATGGTGGTGATGGCAACACCAGCAGCCCTCTCAATTTGGTATCTCCCAAAGTAGTGTTATGGTAAGGATGGCCTGGCAGTGTTAAGCACATGTTTGAGGAGTTGTATGGCTCAGAAGAAAAAAGAGCAGGATTAAAATTCACTTTCACCACAATATGAAGGTAAACAGATTGAAAGGCCTCCAACACAATGTCATTTTAATTGAATCCCCTGGTATTTAATCAATTTCTTTGAGGGTATTCATTTTTTCCTAGGTCAGATATTTTTCAAGTGAATTCCTCACAGACACTGTTAGCTGAGGAGGATCACTAACATCCACTTGGGCCAAAGGAAACAAGCACCACACCCCCCCCCCCCCCCCCCCCCCCCGCCTGGTCCTCTGTGAGCCTCGGGGGCTGTGTTTGAGGAGTCTAATGTTTGGAATGGGTAACCTGACTCCAGAAGAGACCCTGATGCTGCTGCGGGGTTCAGCTGCCTGATAAAGACTGACCTTATTGATTAGCGTGCCGCCTAAAACAGCCGCCAGCAATAAGGGCAAAGTAAATGAACGCTAATTCTCACCTCTGACCCCGGCGTATAGAGAGAGGTCAAGCGCAGGGTGAGGATGTTATGTAAGAGGCTAGAAAGATGGAAAAAGAATCGACGGAAACTGGCATCTAATAAAACTTAAATTGTCACTTAAACCTTTTTTAGACTTACTTGTAGGAATGTGCTAATCATACCCCCAGGGTACGAGCTGCATAGCGAAGACTTTTACCAAATATAGTTTTACCAAATATTTGCAGTAAAAACCAATTAAATGGAATACATTTGCAGAAACCCGAACCTCTACAAATAATTATGGACTTAGTGCAGGGGATCTAGTTTTCTTGGAGAGCGCTGGTTTTCTTCGCTGGGTGTTGCCGGTGGATAGGACAGACATCAGGCCAGGAGGTAGCGTGTATTTATTCAGGTATTAAAAGACCTAAGCACGTGATTCTGTTTAATAACAACGGTTCCACAGGGGCATGTGTGCCAAGGGAAACTCAGTTTTACACAACAATAAAACAGCCAGTGATCTGGACTAGAGCCAAGACTGCTGGCCGTGGTGCAGTCATGTAAGGTGATGGAGAACATGGCACTATGACAGGCTCAGTGCGGTTGATGAAAGTGGACACTGATGGGGTAATTGATGACTGTGACTCCTTACTAATGCGACAGGGACAGACAGATAAACAAATATGCAGGTGTTGCAATAAAAAAAGGACAAACTGGTAAGAGAAATCTGAACTTCTTTAAAATCTATTGTAACATCATTTCCAAAATATTCGCATGAAGTCTGACCATTTTCTGGGACTAAACATTAAAAAGCCTCGACAAACCAGAGAGCTGCTGTGATTGCCCTCCGTATAATTTGCGCGACACATACCACCATACAACATATACGACTGTGTCTGCTAGCGCCAATTTCTGTGCAACTTCAAGAAAGGTTCGACAAAACATTCTTTCCTCCATCTCCACCACAACTAAAGGGAACGAGTGCAGTAGGCATTTGTCCTGGATTCGGTGTTACCACAAAGGTTGCGATGTCCAGGAATCTTGTAGCTTGTTACAGCTCCAGATTAATTGTGAGCTTTAACATTTAAAACTTACTTTTGGATTCTCCAGAAAAAAAATCTATTTGGATTTGGAACCAGACAACCGTCTCTGGGTTTGTTAACATGCATTAGTGGTCATGGTATTCTTTTGTTAGAAGACTATTAGCTGCTTGCTAAGTGGATATGATCAAGTCCTTGTCTTAGTTTGATATGACTATGTGTTTGTGTGCTTTCAGGTCTTTTCAGGTAGAAGAGGAATGCAGGCCAGTGGGGACGTGTTTCAGGTGCCACACTGTGCACTGTACCATTCCCCGACCACACGCTATCCACAGAAACACTCATACAACTGCAAGAACACACACACACGCACACACTCTCCATTAAGCTTATAAGTACACCAAATATTGACTAACATGCAACCGACTAAATGTGTGCCAATTAACCCACAGAGTGACATACACACACACACACACACACACGTACACGCACACACACACAATAACTCATCCATACTCCGGTGTGTACCTTCTAATCATACATCTGGTAACTGTTTTTAAAAAAAAATCTTCTTCCCTTTTCTCTACCTCTTTTTTCCTTCCTCTCTCCCTCTCCCTCCCTCTCTCTCTCACCCAGTTGTCGGCACGAGAGCCCCGTGATGAAATGCCTCCTCCAGTCGGCGTCTGTCATCGTGAGAGGCTGAACCGACTCGTCTGTCAGCGCAGATGAAAGGGCGTTTATCGGACTGGTGGGTTTTAAACATGCCCTACATAGTTTATATTGAAATGATTATGATAGACAGGCACGGCAGGGCACATCCTCTTGGCTCTGAAGCAAGGTAGATACAGACAGGGAGAGAGAGCCGGGTGGAGAGGGAGCTGTCTGCCTCTATCAAGCAATTTAGTGGCACATTAGATGAGACCACCTCACAGCGTGGCACTTATCTAGCCGCTAACTACTATGTTCAGTAAACTACTAACTGCCGGCACTTATACTACAGTCTGTGCAATACATAACACAACTGTGATAACATGTGCCACCAGATCTGCTACATACCCACACAGATAGGCTTCAGCAGGATATATTGATTAGCACTGCGGGTCTTGGAATTGACTGAATGCTGTTATTCTGTCCTCATCAATAAAGAAAGAAGTAAAGCACAGTGATCTAACAGCAAGATGGGACCCCTTTTGAATACATTAGGGTAGGGGTTGAAAGGGCCGACAATTTCACTGCCACTTCCGTTATTCAAATCCAACCATGGGACCTTTTTTTGCACACCATCCACCCTCATTTACTGTCAGCATTATACCGCATTTGGTTGAACTGATCCTTTGAAGTGAATGGGAAATATAAAGTGTGATACATAATGATGAAAACTAAAAATGATTAAGGGCAGTAAACCCATAATTCAAATGTATTTGTTCATCTTAAACCACAGCCAAGATTTGTTGACAGTCTATACTTGCACTACAGCACATCATAGTCTTGGTCTAGCTGAATTATTGCAGGGTGTCGGACAGCATAGAGAATGTGTGTGTACAGAGAAGTGTTAAGTTTGCATCAGTTTGAGTGCGAGTCCTCCTGGGTGATGGATACTGATCGATGTGCGCTGCCTGCTCTGTGTCTCTCTGCACTGATCCCTGCTTTGGGATTTATGAAGCCTGGGGGCTGATCCACATCCAAATTATGTGGGCGGGGCACAGCTGGACTGCACTCTTATCAATCTTCCCCACTCAACTCAAGCTCAAAAAAAAGGGGGAAACTTTTCATTTTTCTACCACTGTTTTGTCAAAACCACATATCACCTGGGGAGACAAAGTGGAAGTGTCGGGCCTAAATCTGACATCAGAGCAGCGGTGGACATGTTAAACCGAGCATGCCTTTCAGTAGACAGTACTACTATATGGGTTGCTAGAGCCAAATGGATGGCCGCATGAACATGGCTTTTACATTTTAAATATGTAATGTCCTCACATGAAATCTTCATCAAAGTCAGGCTGTTTGAGCGAAACATTTCCATGTAAAGGAGTGTTGGTCTGGATGGATGTAAACGGTCTGCAAAGGCTTTAACCCAAAAGTTCCCTCCAGAGGGAGTTTGTCACAAACACTCGTGCTTCTATTGGTACTGTACGCGCTCTAACGCATTGTAATTGATAGGCTAAGGGGCGGGAAATCCTTAAGAACAATCACAACAGAGCCAGGGGGGAAAGAGGTGCTGCAGCACAGGCAGTATGAGAAAATTAAGGCACCGAAAGCATGTAAACATGTCATAGTAGAGGCACACAAAACTAATATGAAACCTGAACATTTGCATAATATGACCTATGACTCACAGTTTATCATTGTTACCATAAGGATGAAGTTCCCTTACCTGACCCTAGCCCCTAACCCTAACCATGACCTTTCCCTGAACACAACGTGCATAAACTTAACCAAAACTATATTCTTAGTAGCCTTTAGTGAGGTCCCGTTTCATTTGCAATGAAGAAGTGTTTTCAAGCTTGATAAGAAAGTAAAAGGATAATATACAGTTGCAAGAAAAAGTATGTGAACCCTTTGGATTCTCCACACATAGCGTTGTGTGTTCCTTCCAAACAACTCAACTTTGGTTTCATCTGTCCACAGAATATTTTGCCAGTAGTGCTGTGGAACATCCAGGTGCTCTTTTGCAAACTTCAAACGTGCAGCAATGTTTTTTCTGGACAGCAGTGGCTTCCTCCGTGGTGTCCTCCCATGAACTCATTCTTGTTCAGTGTTTTACGTATCGTAGATTCGTCAACAGAGATGTTAGCATGTGCCAGAGATTTCTTTAAGTCTCTAGCTGACACTCTAGGATTCTTCTTCACCTCATTGAGCATTCTGCGCTGTGCTCTTGCAGTCATCTTTACAGGACGGCCACTCCTAGGGAGAGTAGCAACAGTGCTGAACTTTCTCCATTTATAGACAATTTGTATTACCGTGGACTGATGAACATCAAGGCTTTCAGAGATACTTTTGTAACCCTTTCCAGCTTTATGCAAGTCAACAATTCTTAATCGTAGGTCTTCTGAGAGCTCTTTTGTGCGAGGCATGGTTCACATCTGGCAATGCTTCTTAAGAATAGCAAATTCAAAACTGGTGTGTATTTTTTATAGGGCAGGGCAGCTTTAACCAACACCTCCAATCTCGTCTCATTGATTGGACTCCAGGTTGGCTGACTCCTGACTCCAATTAGCTCTTGAAGAAGTCTTTAGCCTAGGGGTTCACATACTTTTTCCACCCTGCACTGTGAATGTTTACATGGTGTGTTCAATAAAAACATGAAAACATATAATTGTTTGTGTGGTATTAGTTTAAGCAGACTGTGTTTGTCTATTGTTGTGACTTAGATGAAGATCAGAACACATTTTATGACCAACTTATGCAGAAATCTAGGTAATTCCAAAGGGTTCACATACTTTTTCTTGCAACTGTAATTATGATGATCATGTTGCATCCTTTTGTTTAGGGAAATTAGGAGCCGACTGATTTGTCTTGTTTGTCTACTTTAGTATATATGCCGATCTACAGCTGGATGGTGCTGTCTGCGTGTCCTGGCTGAAAGAGAGTGGCTGGGCAGCGTGGGCCTCACTGTTCAAACATCTTAAAGTTTGCCGATGCGTCGTCTGCCTGCCATGCCTGAGACAGCTCCGGTTCCAGGATTTCACACACTTACATGCCACATTCTCAAACTGCCTGACACACACTCCAGAACATACACACATACAGTATTATACCATTTAAAAAGAGCACGCTCGGATCACACGAGGACTGCAGATTCTGACATGCAAAGAGTCATGTCACGTCACATAGCCTTGTTGCTGTGACAATTCCTTGACCATGTCTGTCAAATGGTTGAGCCCCACAACTCCATCTCTCCATATCCATACAGAGAGGAGGAAGGAGGTGTAGCATCCTACACCATACATGTACTGTACATGTGGCAGATTATATACAGAAATACATATTCATTACATTGTACATATCATCGTCACTGTGAACTTTTGCATATTCTCCTATATTAACCAATATTTTTGACGCACTAAACTTTCTTTGTGTTTTTATTTGTAATAGTATCTTGATAGTGTCTTATTTATTTAATCTTATTGGTTTATTGTTTATTGTATGCACGAAACGCCAAGGCACATTCTTTGTTAGTGTAAATCTACTCGACAATAACAATTATTCTCCTTTGGTAAGACAATAGCCAGGTGTCCACAACCTTCTCACTGCTGCTTCGCCCTGAGGAGATAAAGCACTGCTGCCAGTGTTTGAACCCACGGGTCGGCCTCATTGAGCGGGGCTGTTTGTTTAGAAGAAAGCCATAATACTACAATTATATGTTTGGGAAGTTCTGGCCCACGCTGCGGCAGCCTTCTCCTCGGACCACTGTCATTGACGTTAGCGGCAGGTTGGTGGAAGCATAGAAAAAGCATATTAAAAAACAACAGACTATGGCAGTGACCACGACCGATGCTCTGCGAAGTTGGAAGTGAAGCAGATGGCTGGGGTGTGGTTTGGTCTAGGTAACTGAAACGCTTACACAGTGCCCAGAGTGCTCAGTGATCAGCAGCTGTAGACCTTTGCTCATAGTCATACAGCAGGCTTGAAGGCATCAGAAAACGTTCAATTTACTGACCTTTGCAGGTTTTGCCATCGGGCTGCAGAGTGAATCCCACGGGGCAGCTGCAGCGCACCCCTGTGGCGGTGTCTTTGCATGTCCTGTCACAGCCGCCATTGTTCACGGCGCAGGTCTCTGCAGATGGCGGGACAGAGATGGAGGAAGAGAAAGAGAAGAAGGGGGTGTTAACATGTGACCCCTGCTTCTAAAACAGCATCAAAAAGAAACAAGGGACACTGAAGGGGATGTGGGTTGAGAGAAAAGGTTCATGCAGTGGAAAAATACACAAACAGCACAGTAATGTTTTCTTGCGTTTTCACAAAACTCCAAAGATAAAACATTTTTTTTACCAAGATAATGCAGTGTTCATAAACTCAGAAAGTGACAGTAAATATTCAGGTGAAAAAGTATTTGGCTCAATGGTTGGTCCTGTTTCAAAATGTGTCAAGAAATCATCGTTAACACAAAAAGGGAAAGGGTTAATGTAAGTAGATGGAAAAATAAAGTTAGTGCAAGGTTGAGTGCTGTAAGTCTAGAACACTCTCGGCAGCACCGGCGTATATTTTAGTCCAGAAAAATGTTTTTGTACGTGGCGCAGATAAAGGTTTGCTGGGACTTGTGGATATTGCCTGAGCTGATCCCAAAACCAACAGGAGCTCATGGTAACTCTAGCTCACCTGCCCAGCCACTGTTGCTTTAGCAAAGCTCGGTACACACTTTCCCAATACGCCTCCAAAAGTGCTGAGGAGGCTGACATTTGACGTTGACTCATGTTTGTTGAAAGGGATTTAATAAAACTACACCTAATAAGGAAGTTTCAGTTAGTAAATGTTTGGTTATTGGTGGGTTTGACTTCAATAATTTTAGAGAAAATTGTACATTTTGCTGCTGAAGGTACAAGGGCTAAGAGTTGAGATATTCCACTAGTTCTCGGGCTTTTAAAACCTCCATCTGAAACCCAACAGGTCACATTTATAAATACACCATCATAACAAAAGTTGGCTTTTGAAATTCAAAGGATTGTTCCAGCAACATGTAAATCGGGGACATTACCCTCCTTTTTGGCAGCTTCTTCCCATTTAATTAAAGTGGCAGGATTGTGAAGGAGAAGTGAGGAAATAGGAAAAGCCTTTTCAGGCGTGCAAACACATTCACATCTAGAGGTCAATTCATTAGCATAAAGCATTCTGTCAAGAAACAGGAAGGTATTTGTGGGTTTGTTTGTGTTTCTTCATGTGGCTCCAAACAGCATCAATCTGTTTTCTAGCCTCATTTGTTCCTTGCTGTGTTTATCCTTGAAAGCTCTGTGTTCATCACACGCAATGTTTTTCATGTCTCGTTCTCTCTGGGAACGTTCTGAGACCAGATATCAAACTATTTTGTAATTCTGAACTGTCTTACGAGGGAGGAAAAGGGCCACATGTGAATTTTTGAAGATTAAAGTAAAAAATGTAGAGTTTTATTGCCAGAATTCAGACTTTCTTCTCAGAAATGTGACGATTTTCTTAGAATTCTGAGATTAAACTGAAAGTTCTGATTTTGTTTGTCAAAAAGTTTGTGTCAGGATTCTGACATTAAAGACCCTAATCCTCCGTATTGTCTTAAATGGATTCGTTATTTAAAAATGTTTTGCAGGAGGCTTCACAGAGTTTGTGTTTGTGTAGAAAAACAGCAAAGGGGAAAGTAGACACTAACCGTAACCCTCATTTAAACTTGGTCCTGTATGATACAACAGAAGACCCCTGTCCCATCTCCTCTCCCCAGCTTGGGTCCCTGTCCGTCTGCGTGAGAATTAAGGTTAAAGGCTGTATGCCTGCGCAGGTGCATACAGTCAATAAGACTTTTTGTGTTAGTGTTAAGGTACATGTGCATGAGCGTGGGCTTGATGTGAGTGGAGGTGGTGTTTGAGGGTCAGAGTGATTTATACAGAGTACAGTTGGCCCTATCATTAGGTGAGGGTTGAGCACAGTCCTGCTCAGCGCCCCAGCCTCAGGCCAGACTGAGAAGGGGAACACAGACGCACCGCCGAGCCTGATTGATGTGCTGGACAAGCCCCTTATAACCCCCTCGGCCCCATCTCCAAGCCTCTACACTCTCCATATAACCCTGCATATTTCTATCCCAGCCTGTTTGAGTGTGTGTGTGTTTGTGTGTGCGCAGCATATATCTGCTTGTTACTTCGATGTCATGAGGGCTGGAATCACATATGATGGATTCTAAACTCATACTGTATTTTTCCTCTGGGTGTCTAATGTTAGATCAGTCTTTGGTGTTTTGTTTTTTTCAGCACCACACTTGCAAAAGTTGGGGTATTCTCTGTTGACACGGTCCACAATGTGAAGGCTACAATTGCGAAATTGCTGATTATGTGTCAGAGTAACTGAAGCAATGACACATATTGAATGTGGATTGTGATTGTGGCAAAGATTACATGAATAGTTCAACATCTTCAAAATACCAGCATCTTGTAAGTTACCATCAAAACTATTACTAGAGAAACCTTACTTCACATTAAGACTCCATTAAGTCACCCGTCCGAGAAATATTCTGTAATACGACAATATGTAAAGAATAAGATGTAAGTAGGCTGACTTTGTTTGCTAGCTGTATATCTAGTATATATGCTAAACCTAGCAAATAGCTTGCTGGCTCAAGCATAATGTTTACAGAAACATGACTGGAATCAATGTTCTTATCTTACTCTTAGCAAAAAAGTGTAGTGTATTTCCCAAAATATGGTGGTATGAATAAAAAAAGGCCCAATGTCTATTCTCGGGAATTGACTGTTGAGTCAGTTCACAACTTTTCCATTTCCACTTTTATTTGATGAACATGTTTGATAATGTTTCTAGAAATGCTACTGTTGCATGTATTTCACATATTGTCTGTGAGTATTAGGTAATAATGTTCATTTTTTTATTATGATTTTTATTTTTAGACTATAAAGACCACTTGACTCAAGATGAAATCAATTTGAATGGAGAAAGGAAAAAGGTGGCAGCATATTCAGAAGATGATGCAAAATGTTAAGATTTCAGGAGAGGGGGAGGCTGCCAAAATGAAAGCAACCCAACATAACTCTCCTCTTGCCAATTGAACAAGGTCAGCAACTGCATGATAATGGATGACAATATGTCAGCAAGGGGAAGAGGAATGAGAGGAAAAACTGTATGGATACACATCGTCGTCTTCTCATGGAACTGCTGACTTTTTCCAAGAGAGGACACATGTTCTATTGATTAAAGATGGAAAGCATGAGAGGGAAAACTATGTGCACTGTGTGTACTAAAGCATCATGCCAAGTCACTAACTGTTGGAAAAAGGTGAGAGGGGCACGATCATCTGTCAGCTCTCAACAAGATCCCCTTTTCCCCCGTGATTGGCATCTAAATCAGCTGTCAGTCAGCATAGCTCTGGCCTGCAATCCCGCTATATAGATACACCTACTGTGAACACACAAACACACACATCAGCTTAGCTCCATCTGTCCAGAGGGGATGGTTTATTTGGAGTCCAGAGCCAATGTAGCACCAGTGAGTCTCTCTTTTGACACTTCGTTCACATATGTGCAGCACCTGGCTCCTGAATTTTCTTCAATAGCAACGTCATGAAATGTCTCAGAATTACTTTTCATCAGATCGCCCACACTCCTTCTGTCCTATTTCCCTTCTGGCTTGCTCTCAAGGTTTCTCCTTTTGTTATCTCACCACCGCCTTTCATTAGAGCTCCGGTCGCAGATCCATTTGTCTTGATCGGCACGTTGTCTGTGCTGTGTGATGGCAGCGAGTGCACAGGCAGGAGCACCTCGTGTCAGAGGAATCAGACTGATAGCTATGTCAAATCTAACATGCTGCTGCTGTTCAGGCGGTGCCAGTGCAGCATCGGGATGGACACTATGCTCTTAACAACCCCAGGCATGGACATGTGTTTGTTCATGCACACTGATAACTTCCCTCAGGGTTGAGTATCCAAATATATTGGGGTAAGTGGTGGCCCTTGATTAAAAGTAATAATAACAATAATAATCTGTGATTAATCATGAATAATCAAAAGATGTTTTATTTTTGCTTTATAGTAACATCTCAGCTGAGTTTAAATGATTTCTTAATTATTGGCATGAAGTCCAACAATTTTCCGACACCTAGCTGAAGCATCTTCAAAGCGGCTGTCACAGAGAATAACTGTGATCACCCTCTGTATAATGTGTGCGACACACGGAATATGTTCTTGGTAGTATTCGCTCTGCCAGTTTCACATTGTTAGCACTATTTGTTCCCACAATGCCTCCGCTTTCTTTTCGTTTTTACTGCCATGCAATTTAATTCTAACCCTAACTTTAACTGTACTGGATGTATGGGAGGCACTTAGGGTCAAACTTGATAATGTGAATTATTTGTGTAATTTTTCTAATTTCATTTTAACGTGGTAAGGTTTCCAGATCAATTGCAAGCTTTAATGTGGTAACATTTGAATTATTCAGGGTTCGAAACTGCAAATTGCTGAACCGCTCAGGATGTGTAGTGGAGCTTTCAGGAAAAGATGATGGATTCCACCAAGCTGAATATAAGTTTCACATTTATCAACTTCTATGTTGAGTGGCCAACTTGAACAAAGTTTAGGCTGTTTAGGCTAACATGACTTTGTTTTTTGTTTCTGTTTGTGGACAGTTCTGAGATTCAGACATCAAAACATTCAGAAAGACTGGATAATGGGAATCTGGATGGCAGTGTCCTCAAAGCCTTTCTCACACTGCAAGACTTGCCAAAGGTGCTACTGAGGCTGGTGCTATTGTAGACAGTTTTATTTGAAAGAAAAACCTGAGGATTTTTCCAGCGTAATTTGCAGCAAGTTGTAAATGACGTTACAAGAGGAGCACCATCAGGAAAGGTGACATGCTGGTACAACAGGAAGTGAAACAAGGTTTAGTGTGGAGTCAGGAGACTTCTATATTCAAGGTAAATAAAGGAGAAGAGAAAAGAACAAAGAGGTATAATAAAGATGAGGAAAAACAAATTCTCCATTCTTCCTCCAAGCCACATTGTCCGGAACCTGCTGAAATAAAATTGTAAATCAATTGACTGCAGACTGTACAGCACATCAGTTTGGAGTTCCAGATATTGGGGTGCAGGGGAGGAATGATGAGTTGAAGATCTGAAAAGAAAAGTGTCAGGGTCCAGTCCTTCAGAAACCAAATAATGCCCATCTCGTTTATTTTTGTATAAGTTCTCGATGTTGCACCTTTCATCAATAGCCATCCTTTACAGCAGAAACCGAACCTGAAAACCATCCTTAAAAACAAAGGTAGCATGGGACTGTTGGTTTTATTCGCTCGCCTTTACTGCCCCTTCAGAAGATTGTGGTTTTGAGAATAGGCTGCCAAGTACAGTGTAAAACGTTTATGGGGCAACCATGGGGCAACCATGGTCCAGAACGTTATATTACAACATTGGTAGTCTATTAGAGGAATGGAACACATACATTGTACAGTAAAGCTACATTCACATGACAAGCGGTAAAACGGCTCTGTGCTGTCGTTGATGTTGTGTTTCTACCCTCAGCGTCGCGAATCGTAAGAAATTGCGAGCAGTTCTTGATTGCTGTTGACTTTTTGATGCACAACCAATCAGATGACAGCTGTGCTAAGCGGCGCAAGCTAACAAGGGAGGTACCCATAAAAACAAAACGTATCTGGTGCTTTCACCGCAAGGCTCTGCACCCAACCTCACAGTGAGCAAAGAGCGAATCATGTGAATGCGGCTTAAGGTGCAACATGGAAAGCCAATGTTAGTCATCGAGAAAAACCTTTAGTAGTTTTAGGAAGGACCAGTTCAAAGGAAAACAGGGACTTCTTTCACTTTGTTTTCATCACGTAAGGTACAGAAGCAACAAAACGGACTGTGGGAGACACAGTGGGCATCATCGGATTACAAAAAAAAGAATGTTAACAAAATAAAGACAGAGAGGAGGACGAGGAGGAACGGAGAGGAATGGAGTCGGGGATACAAGCACAAGCGCCATGGCAACACATAGAAAGAGGAAGAAAAGAGTTACCCATAAGTAGCCGCCGTTTCACCCGCTTGTCCACATCAGCTACTGACGTGGCATTGAACTCAGAGCTCTCAATTGCAGCCTCATCTTTCTCTAAAACACAAGTGACAAGGGGACAAACAGTGAGCAGCAGGTTAATGAGAAGCCCAAATGACCAGACCTTCAGCCCCTCTTGGTGTTTGAGCAAAAAAACCAAAGCCAAGAAGCAAGAAGCGATGAGGAAGCGCCAAAATCCCTGTTAGAGTGTTAATCCCCAAACAAATGATAAATCCCCCAGAGCAAACAAAAGAACAAAATAAAATAAATGAAATATTGGTATCAGTGTGTAGCTCACAAAATGAAGCGGTAGATAGGCAAGAAGGTAGGTGGGGAGGGAAGGAGATTGAGGACTTACGTGAAAAAGTAAACCAATAAAAGATGGTTAGAGGTGTGGGGGTTTTAGGGATGGAATGAGGTTGGGGTGAACATTAACGGGAATCTTAAATCTTATGTTGACGTTACTGTTTGCAGATGGAGTTTCTGTCTTCCATATCAAACAGCCACACTTTCTCAGCAATGATTCCCTTGCGTTAGGATGGAGGAGGAAGATGAGAAAGAAAGGGAGGGGAGGATACTTGTCCAACCTTTCCAAGACAAGCTGTCTTAAATGTTGGAACAGAGACGGAACCAAGTTGTAATGATGACAAAAAGAGGTGAAGGGGAGGAAGACGAGAGGTCGAACAGCAGCAAGAAGTGATCAAACAACCGAGTAATGACAAGATTTTTGAGTGAAATGATGAACAGAGAAGAAAAAAAGATACCGAGGTAGAAAAGGAAAGGCAGAATCAGTCCCATCATGGCCCACAATGGGAGAGCTATATGAGGGACAAAGGGGTGCACACACTGAGAAATGGGGTTTGAAGGGGCAGTGCAGGGAGGGCATGCAGAGAAATAAAAAGGCAGGAGGGGGTAGTCTGGGGGCAGCGCTGGTTGCCTGTTTGTCTATGGAACACATCACAACTGGCTTTAACAGTTAACGCTGGAAGAACCACAATCCAAAATGTGGGCAGCGGAGCTGGGGGGGGGGGGGGCTGAGGTCGGAGGGTGGCCCTGACGATGGTTGTAGAAAGGGTTAAGATGGCATGCATGTGGTGCGTTGATGATGGTGGGTTTTACGTTAGCGAGGAGGGAGGCGGCCTTTCATTTGGGCCTGAGTCATTAGGGCCTGAATGAGCACCTCTTCTTGAATAGACGCCACTTGCCGCTATAGGACTGGGCTTTGATGTATACACTCAGTCCTGAGGTTGGTGAGGGGGTGGATATGGGAGTAATTAATGTTCATTCCATTCCCCGGCCCTGTCCCGCTACGGTTTTCTCTCTCTCCTCTTGGGAGCTTGATGGACAAAGTGGAGGACTCTCTGAAGTACACTCAGGGATGAATGGAGGCTTTCTGGTGCTCGGCTAACGAGTGAAATGTGGCTGTATGAATGTGTGCGTGATTGTTGAATTGAGAGCTTGGGCATACCAGTCCGTGTGCTTTTGAGCGTCTGCTTTCTTAAGTGTGTGAAAAAATCTGTCACGGAGGGAGATAAAATGTGTGGGTGGATGTGTGAGCCAGGTTGAGAAGGGGTGGGAAGAGAGGAGTCCCTGCCACTCACTTCTAAAGAGTCTACAGGGCTAAGCAGTGGTCTGAGGCCCACAGAGAGGGGAGTGATTAGAGAGCCAGACCACAGGACATGGAGGGGGGGAAGAGTTAAACCAAGCCAATCTACTACAACTACGAGGAGAATGGTAAACACCGATGCACTGAGAAAAACAACAACACAAGGACCAGGGTCACTATAAACAACAACAATAACAAAAAACAAAATGTTATTCAATTCCAAAAAGGGTAAAAAAAGAAATTAAAAAAAAGGGAAACCATACCAGGGCAGGCTCTCCCATGCAGCTGGACAAGCAGACAAACACACACATGATTGGACGGATTAGTAAAAGAGGAGGTGACAGACACTTGGACGATATGGCACATGTGAGTGGACAGAGGCAGTAGAAAGAAGGGTTAGCGGTGCAAGCCCCTGCCTCTCTATCAGGGAGTATGGAGCAAGGAAGGGGGCTGATGGATGGGGATGTTGTTGTCGGCAGGTTTGTGGTTCTCGCTTTGCTTTTTTGTGTTCGGGAGGTGGAGGATGAGGAGGTAGAGAGAGAGGTGGAGGAGGAGGAGTAGGGTTAGGTTTGCTTTTGAGGGAGCTTAACCTAAGATCAGGCTGCAATTGAGATGTCCGCTTTTAGCCACAAAGTCTAACACGTGGCCCCTGACCCCCGTCCCGTACCGTACCGCCCCACCCCACCCCAACAGCACCCAGAGCCAGTCTTTCCTCTTGTGCACTGAGGATTTATCCTTTCAATCCACCTGAATTGAGTTTTAACATGGATGCTCAGACAAGACAGGCAATCAGGAAGCAGCAGGAGGAGGAGGAGGAGGAAGAGGAGGAGGAGGGCGGAGGAGCAGAGGGATAGCACTATATAGAAAGAATAAAGGAAAGGTGGGGACAGGTGGGTCCATTGAGTAATTGGGACACCCAGTCCGAAGACCTTTCTCTCGTCAAATAAAATAGAGATAGAGAGAAAAAACACAAGACATTTGGAAAGAAGGGAGGGTTCTCTCTCATTTTTATCGTATCTTCTTCTTTGCAGCCTTTTCCTCGATGGTGTGTTCTTCTTTAAAGTAGCTGGAAAGAAAAAGTGGTTAATGGCAGTCAAAACCTAGCAGCACAGCAAACTGCTCGTGTGTTGAGACAGAGGGAGGTGTTTCCAGTGTACGAACAACAGGAAGGACAGCACATCAAAATCAGATCATTGTGTGTCCATGGTTTTATCAACAGCATTGACATCATTCTGTGTGTTCGTGTTTTTCAGTTCACAGCATGAATGAGTGTGTGTTGTTTGGTTGTGCAGGTGGTTGCAATCTCACATGTAATGATGTGTTTAAACGCACTTCCACTTTGTTTTCTTTGGTTTAAACCACAAGGAATTGTTGACTTTTTCTTTTGTTGTTTCATTGGGATCTCGTTGTCCAATTACAAATGAACCACAACTTGTAAACAAAAGTCACATGGACTGAAGCAGCTCACTAATTGGCAGAGATTAGGTGACCCATAATCTTGGTGGGTTAGTGATTCTGGCAGTAGGGGAACACTTCAGTTCCTACCACTACAATAACTGGAGGTTATCACTTTTGGGGAAAAACATTAATTAATTTAGGGCACAACTTTGATTACTTGCTGATTCAATTATGAACTTGAAGATGCAGAATTGATCAACACCTTCAATGTGCTTCATGTATTACAGCCCTTGAGGCCAAACTACAACCACTGTGACTGGAACCAGCTGCAGTGGGCTGGCTAAGGTCATAAATGTGGTGATGAAATTACTGTAAGACTTTACAAATGACTAATAACATATATATATCAGCAAAAACAAGGCGGAAAATAACAGTTGAAGAACTCCACTTACCTTGAACGCTTTTATTTATCCTTTACCGATTAAAACAATTGCAAGACAAAAACCAATGTCCATTATGTGAGAGCTAGGATGTCCTCAGCATGTTGTGGAGTCAACTGAGTTCTGACATGAGGAATGGAGTATCAGAGTGGGTATTGATACATTCAAAAGCAACTCACTTTCAAACATGTAACACAGGAGTAACGTTATGGCCCCAATGGATCATTCAAGAGACTTTTTGCAATGCAGCGCACCTCTACGGACTTTATATCCAATGTGCGACAGCTTCACAATCTGAAAACACCCAGTTCCCAATCGAGCTTCTACGTTGACTCTTTGGGTATGATAAGGTGAAGATAACCCTTGATAAGTAGTTTAGAAAATGGTCTTAAATTAAACAAGGTGCTCTCAGTATGCAAATCAGCTATTTTAAAATGTTTGCATCTACTGAGAGCAATCACTGTCATTTTGAGCCTGAAATAAACATGATAATAAAAGACATATTTGAATGTGACTCTGCATTCATTGTTGATTTAAGGATTTTCACAATTAAAAACATTGATAATTTAGTTGATAAGATATTTGTTCTTTTCTAAATCTACTGACAATCTCACTACCGTGTTTCTGTTGGGTTGAACATAATACGAGTATCTTAGCAGGTTTGATGCAGCATTAAGTTTGCAAGAACCTGGAAAAATTGTTGATTTAATAAGGTCTAATTCTTATTCTTTATCGCTGAGAAGCTCACACTTGAGTGTTACCCATGTCCTTTTTATGACCCGTAAATCAGTGTGCATCAATCTGTTAAAGTGCTGTTTCCCTCAGTATCAAGGGAAGAAGAGAGGAATGGTTGTGGAGCTCGGAGATGATCTATCTTTCAACTGTCCAACTCCAACCCCCGAACACACTTCCACATTCTGTTACCTTGCTTCTTTTATCAGCTGTGCTACACCGACACGGTCATGGCCTTCTACCATACAACAGATGTTACAGTCAAACAGCTGTGGGGGCTTCAGGGTGTGTGTGTGTGTGTGTGTGTGTGTGTGTGTGTGTGTGTGTGTGTGTGTGTGTGTGTGTGTGTGTGTGTGTGTGTGTGTGTGTGTGTGTGTGTGTGTGTGTGTGTGTGTGTGTGTGTGTGAACTGGGAAGACTTCTTGGTTGTCACTCACCGATGCAGGTCTTGCTGTCTGAGTGCAGGGCGTACTTCTGATGGCAGCCACACACCGGCCCTGTGTCTGTGTCATCGCATGTGTGCTGGCAACCGCCGTTTCCATAGTTACACGTCACTGAATACAACACACACACATTCCTGGCTTGTATATCATGCGCAAAACATGGCTCGTGACATTTTAAAAGGTCCACTCATTCTTGATTTAGCTTTAACAACAATGTGGGGGGGCAGTAACGAAGACGCAACATGGATGCTGTATTGGATATATGGCTCGGTGTGACAGGTGGGAGAGGGCCATAAAAGGATGCAACGAGAGAGACGAAGGAGTGAATTAAGGAGAGAAGGAGAGATAAACAGAGAAAGGGTGAGTGTAATAAATATGGTCTTCAGTGATGGTTATATTATCCTAAATGTCTGTTTCTCTGTTTCTTAAATATATGTCCTTGTTAGTGCTCTTAATGCTGTGATGCAACAATGGTATGTCGTATGGTAAAAAGAGAGGACTACAGAGCAACAGAAATAAGATCAGGAGAAAGGGAGAATTAAGATGTATAAGAAAGATGGAGAAGGAAGAACAAAGATGGGGCGAGGGACAAAGAAAGAGAGGATAAGAACATTTTGAAAATAATATATTTATAGTGTTTGAAATTCTTTGGCAATATAAAATCTATATAAAGGTAAGGTTCTATTGTTTGTAGCATATAGACACCTTTTATATTTAACATTTAGTAAAGTTAGTATTCTATTTTTTAAGGGTTTTATGGAATAACATTTCGGTTTCTAAAACAACATTTTAAAAGATCTTTTAATTGTTTAAGCTTTTGATAGTTTAAGACACACAATCTGACTGGTTAGTTTTAGGAAAATATCCTGGTTTGGGTTTAATTCACTACTTTAAGGTGAGTCCACCGTAAGTTCAAACTGGATTCCATGCATTTTAAATGTTCTTAAACAGGTTCCCAACTTCCTTGAAATCTCAAGGTCAAAAGGCAAAAAGAGGAAAAGGAAGAGGGAAAGAGAAAATATAAAAACTAACAACAAAAGGATAAGAAAATCCATCCATAGCGGAGAGATATGGAGACAATTGTAAAGAAGAGATCATAATGCAGGATCTTTCCTGGAGCTTTTTCGAGTACTTGCAAACCCTTACGCAGCAGAAAATAAAAAGCTTTAAACTTGGCCGCAAAAACAGCGAGCTGAGAAGTACTTTTTGACGGGCCACAAACTATTGAGATGGGGTTTGCCATAGTAAACAGAATTGATTTGTCAAACTCGAACTATTTCAACAGTTTGTGATTCCTCCAAGTTGTTAACCTCCTAATTTGCCTCGTTGACAGTTCTCCAGTGGGAAAGGGATAGAAAACTATTCAGATGAAGAGAAGAGAGGAGGTGAGAGATGAAATACAAAGACAAAAAAGGTGTAAAGACGTGAGAGGATGTGAGAAACAGAACAAAAGAGGGCATAAGGAGAAAGGAGAAAAGCTAGCATTTCTTCCATCATGTCCTGTGCCGCAGTGCTCATAAGGCCGGCACAGCACCGGGTCCCTGGCGTCTAATGAAATATTACCACAGCAGGTGACACATTAGAGCCCTTTCGGAGGCTTTCACAATCTTTACACTCTCACCGTCTGAGAGGAGAACAAGATTTGATGCCAAACAAATCGTAACTAAAAGCTTATTTCCCCCCCCCCCTCAAAAACAGCAGCCCTAAATTCCATGGCTGCAGGCGCTCGGCGTGAAGAGTGAGAAACAGAGATTGAGCTGCGAGGGGGGAGTTTGAGACATGAATTCTCTCTCTACTGAATCCTTCAGCACCTTCGGCTTGGCCTGAAACGCTTAACTGATTTTGGTATTAAATGTCCGCCCTCATAATTTACCCCTGAAGGCCTACTGGATCTTGTCCATCATTGCTATTACAGATGTTTATTATTAAAAGAGTTAAGATCCTTCATTGCACCAGTACGTAACCTCAATACAATCAGAAACAGAGTGTTAATACCTTGCTCCCATGTGAACTGTAAAAAGGAATTGAAACTAAATAGAGTGGTGCAGTGATGACATATTTCTGAAGGGCAACCCGGAAGTTAGCATCGCAACGGCTCCCTTCGTAAAAAAGCAATGGGATTTTACATCGGATTTCTAAATATTCCTGATTCCTGATGTTTCTGATACCATACCTGAGACCATCTCTAGATATTAACACCACTTTTATTATTTTAGGGAACGTAAATGCATCGCCAGAAGTATAAAAGCTAACGAACTACATCATGGTCGAGTGTTTTCCTTCACCACCGCTAAGCTAAAGGCGGCTAATTTTTGGCGTTATGATCGTTAACAGTCAAATGTAGTCACTTGTTAGCAACTTAGGATATTCCATCTAATGGCGTATTTGATGGCATAGAACAAAAACAACTTTTGTGTTGACCAAAGATCTTATTTCAAGCATCTAACCAGAAACATGTTTAAAAAAAACATTGACTTCATTACGAGGGAATCAGAAAGTGGTTAAATGCTTACTCAATTCACTCATGGGGGGTGTAACACTGAGGTTAGGTGTGATACGTACATATGCAGTCTTTCTGGTTTTTGTTCAGCTCAAAGCCAGGACGGCACTCGCACGACACCCCGCCCTTGCCTGGAGCCTCTCTGCAGATGTGGGCACAGCCGTGGTCCTTGTTCATGCAGTTCATCCCATCTGTTCAGGGGACAAAGAAACAGAGCTGAGGAACTGTTGTCTTACAAGTCATCAATTATATCATGGAGTAAGAAACTTCAAATTTAAATATTCATGACTGAACGAGCAACAGTGAGGTAAGAACACCTTTAGTTATGATTTGGATTTTTAAAAAGTCAGATTTCTCAGGATTGTGTGGGCGTAGTTTGATCAGATTTGATTGACAGTGACCAGACAGACCACCAATTTCATATGTATTGCAGAGGATTACATGAAACCATATCCTACATCGGCACAGCTACCTTTAAACCAGTAAGTGAGAAACGCAGAAACCCCTTATTTGAAATAATCTACTTTGGCAGATAATAATGTGTTCATGTAAGAACATTTCAGCCAAAGTGAGGAACTGATTTAGGAAGTACATTTTTGGGCATTTAACATTTTGCTTTCCCAAGATATTTCTGCATCACTCTTTTGACATCATGCCTCCAACAGCCATCCTGGATCTGCAGTTTTACAGAGCTTTACAGAGAGTTTCAGATCATTGTTTCCATGTCTTGTACACTGCCATCAGCAGAAAACACAACACAGACAGACTGTAGTTGGAGCCTAGCTGGACACAAATATGACTCCAAATGAATAATAACGTTGCTCTGTAACTGCTGGAAAGAAGCAACTGCTAAGAAGTTCCCCATAAGTTAAGAGGTGAAAATGATTGTTGTTCCTCTGATGTCAAGGATTAAAATGTGACTGTTGGTGAAAACTTGACAAATGAGACAAAGCAAGAACTACAGGCACGTTACAAAATAAAATATGAAAGAGTGGAACCCCTGTGGTATGAATTATGAAATTGCGAGAAAAAAATCAAGTTTATTGAACCAAATGCAAAACAGAACAACACATGTCATATGTAAGATGAGTTGAGGCGTCTAACAGCCTGTTCTTTTTGCCTGGAACAGTGAGTACGGTCCTCAGGCTGAACAGCCAGCGGTCATCAAACCAATGTTTTCCTTTGTAATTAGAAACTACTTTTACCATTTCTGAAATCCCACTCTCTCACACATTAAAACCCAGACACATTTCCTCTTCATCATCAGCACCAATAAAGCCCTCTGCCTAAATGTACGACTGTCCTTAGCCCATGTTTTCAGCGGTCACTAATCCGAGGCTTCGTCTTGTCACCGCTGACACGGCTGGCCCTTTTTCTATCCCTTCATACTTTCACCGGAGCATGTGACATGTGGTCTCCTATCCCGGTGATTTGTAGAGCATGATGGGGCAATACTAGTCTAAATAGGCCAGTGTTTAAATCTTCATCAGCTGGAGGGAAAACAAGTAGGAGGAGGACCAAGCGCCAGTCTCTAGAGAGGCGAATAGGGAAGGAGAAGTCAGCCAAAGATATCACTGAGCTCTGGGAAGAACTGGAAAAGTTAGTTTTTGGGGAGAGTGCGGTCGTCTACCTGTCATGGCACAATCAAATATCTTAACTTGCAAAAGACGGCTTCTTTCACAGAGTTTTGTACGTGTTTTCAAAAGAGCTTTGATCCACTCACGAGCTGATCAATGTTCTAGATATTATGTTTTTCTGATTTTGTTAGCTGTTCCATGACGTGAACTAACAGCCTAGAGGGAACATTGTGTTCCTCATGTCAGGAAAATGATGGGTCAGTACTTCTTCAACGCACTTCTTTGGGACTTTTTAAATGAGTACTTATTATTTGAGACACTCCTGTTACAGGACATATTTATCTTGCTTTTCAGTCCATTGTCTTCAGTTCCATGCCAAAGTGTTTCGCGGTTAGGAGAGTTAGGAGAAATACATGAAACGTAATAAGAAATTGTTCAAAAAATCTCACTCGACACTGGCTTGAGTTTCAATAATCAGGATACATGTATTCATTTCTTGCAAGAAAGGAACAAGCAGCCCCAAACAACTGAAGTTTGAAGGAATTGAATTAATCACGTAACACCATAAAACGTACAACCTAAGACGGCACTACTTTGATCTACTTGAATGGAATAACATACGACACCTTTCATTTACAACACTCTCAAATGAACTGACTGAGCCTAAATTCAGTCTGTCTGCAGAGTTTGTAAAGCTCTATTACACCGAGCATTTAGGGGAATTCTAAAAATCTTAATAGTTTATTCTGCTGCTGATAAGAATCCAAATGCCAGTTATGTGTATTTGGCTGTAAAGACCCCGTGCTTGAGGATGCTCTCCAAACAAATCCAATCACCATGAGGAAAATGTAAGAAGTAAGAGACAAGTGTTTCAAATTAAATGAATGAGATTTTAAGTAAAAAAGAAACACAAACAATAAGTGATTACCGCCATTGTCCTTATTTTCGCTATTTACTCACGATTTGCATTTGGTAGCACTCACCAAAAAGATTTGGTTCAAAGACACGCCCCTTCTCTGATCACCATGGTGAATAATGTCCCTTCATGGGGCCCAAGAGCGCTTCAAGTACCTCATTAAGGCGCCGTTTCTTCTAGAGTCTCCTTCACAAACAAAAAGTCCTTTCTTAAACACCGCCATTCTAGCTGTCCACTCCAACAGGACCATTCCATCAAAGTCCAAAATCAAAGGAGCCAAAGGAAATTGTGCAGTTACATGATTAACAAAAGATCAAACTAAGTCTACCCCTCTATTCAACGTTATATAATTCAGACAATATAGCATTAAATGTAGGCAGGTATTGATGCAGTTTTGCACTGTAACTGACAGGGCAATGGAGCCAGGGGGTAAAAAAAAGTTTAAAAGTTTCCAAAAGCATCCATTGACCCTGTTTGAAAACTCATAAGAAAGTATCTACAATCAATTTAAACCTGGGAGAAGTCAAATAAACGGAGGCAGAGGGAGAAGGTGGACACAGCCCGGGACTCGGCACAATCGAGCCTAAAACAACAAACACCAACTGCGGCCTCTCAACGTGTCCGATGTGACGAGGCAGGGCGAGAGGGAGAGCCGGCTGCTCACTGACACGTTTACTCGTCAGAGCTGAAGAACCCACATGGGTCCCTGGATACATATTCAGCCGGATCTGATGTCCAACTCTGCTTGGATCAACATCAGAGCTGACCTGCTGACACAAGGTGAGGAGTGGGAGTGGAATCAGGAGTTCATGGCGTGCATGAGAGAAGGTTTTAAGTGCACTAAAAGTTAACGCTGCCATCCTCATACAACAAACCTGCAGGGGAACAGATCAAGAGAATGGGCCACAAAGACCATGAGTAACAATACTTTGTTTTTATAGGCTGGCAACACCATGCCCAGGTGTTACCAGGTAAATTACATCCTTTTTTATTATCATTATAACTTTTTATTTGTTAATTTGGTTTTTCTCCGCAATAATTATACTTGTTCTCCAAACACAAACAATTAAAACGTATGCTGTATCGATAGTAGTTTTTAAAAAAAAACTAAATTACCTCCTGCTCAACAATAAAGCATGCAGACATGGCTGCACGGTCACATGAGCGGTCACCATAACATAAAGAGGAGCACACGGACACAGCAAAATACAAATTAAGCAAATATAAAGTGTAAATACCTGCATCATTCCTACCACTCCTTCACAACTTTAACATATCACTGACTTTTTGGAGAAGACAATGCTGGCTGTGTTAACAAAATGAAAAATGTATGAGCACTTATAGTAGGGTTAAGGCCATTGTCCTTCTTTCTCTAATACTTAATACGAATTAAAAAGTGCAGAAACACAGGTGCTTGGGAAGATATAAATATAATCTTCAAAATAATAATCAAGTTATTGTTGCCGAAATGTACTAATCAACTCTTAATGTAATGCATGTATGTAAATATTTTATAGCTTTCCAAGCCTTTTGAAAATGGGTCATGAAAAGCAAACCACATGGCAGAAACACTAAGAACAGTTAATCTGGTTCAGAAACTTTTATTTAAAGGAAGCTCCAGTTTCAAACTAAAAGCAAGTGACCGTGATATTGGGTAGGAGATTCCTGTAATAATAAGGCGGCTAGTTGGATAGAGTTGTCCCGTGATATGTAATGTAAGCTTGATCAATAATCCATAAAGACCTGCCTTTTGATCGCCATCTTAGGAAGTCTTTTTTTGCATGTTGTAAAAATGCAGATAAAATGTCTGTAAACTAAAAACAGTAGCTACCACAAGTACATGGAAACGTATCCCCAAGACAGATGGTATGTTTTGGAAAAAGGTTGCCTAAAATGCCTCTTTAAAGTAAAGTGGTGTTTATGTCCCTTTCAGTGGCAATCCTTCAGTGAGCAATGAAAATGGATTGAGATGGTTGACGTTTCCTTTTTTATTCCAGCTGGAAGAGGAGCTGTGTTTTGATAGGAGAGGTCAGCAGGTTTAAAACTACTGAAGCTCCACACTGGGAGCCCAGCGGGTCCAGATAAAACACTCAGACACGTCTTCAGGGCCCAGCAAGAGCCGCTCTGTCTCTCACACAGTCTCTCCTCTGTTCCCCTGTCTCTTTTATTGCCCTCTGTCTGTCTTTCTCCTTCCCTCTCCCCTGCCTTTTCTTTATCCACCTCTCCACACATCTCTCTCAGGAGCTCTGACTCCAGATGAGGTCCAAGCATATCACAGCCGTGTTATTACAACCCGACTCTTGCAGCGTTACACCCCAAAGCCCCGAATGTCTAAAAAAAAAAGCAGGAATGAAGTGAAAGAGAGACGGATGGAGAGAAGAAAGAGGAGAGGAATGTGGAAGAGGTAGAAGGAGAGGGATAATTTAGAGCCTCATATTCGCCTCCTCCTTGTTTCCTCGGAGGATGATGAGGAATGAGGTGATGCTGAACACCGGTCTCACAGCCAGATCTCCTCACCGGGGAGAAAGAGACATTTCACATGTTCAAATAACTCTGTAGAAAATATGATGATAGCTTTCAAAGGTGTCACAACATTTAAACATTTTATTGCATTCAACTGCTTTCAATACTCATATACTCAATGCCACTGTTGAGATAAATGTAGACACTATTAATGTTGTCACTTGCTGCTGCCTGG